CTCATATCTAGTTTGAAACTGTATATAAACTTTTTTTTTTTTTACAAATTGAACTTCTTTAAAAGTTCAGTAAAACTTTTTTTTTTTTTACAAATTGAATTTTTTTAAAAGTTCAGTAAAACTTTTTTTTAAAGTTCAGTATTTTTATAGTTTGATAGAGACATTTATTTTGAATTATATCCTCTGAGAGGACCACACTTGGAATGATGGCCAAGAAACTTATAAAATTGAAAAGAAAAAAAAAACCTTACTGTTTTTTTGTGTATGTACAGATTCCTGCTGGATAGATTGTTGTTTGGATACAGTCCTGCTACTGCGTCTCAAGACAATTTGTTTCCTTTTGGTGCTTAGCGAATATCTGTTGACCAGAGAGGCTCTAGAGCTTGTGGAGGATCTGCCCATCAGGCTTCGACGCACTGAGCGACGGCTTCCCTTAGGGACAGGTGTGTGTGGCGATTCATTTAAATTCAAAGTGCCTTTGAGTTCAGAGAGCAGCTCATCTTCTTGTTGCTGTGGACATAATTTTTCAGAGCTGGGCTCTTCTTTTTCAATAGTTTTGTAGAGAGACACAGTTGCTATCTTCAACTTACATGCTGTCCGTCCCACCTCTTTTTTTAGTTTTTCCTCAGGAGTGTTTTGGATTATGATCACAGACTTTTCAGAGAAGGGTTCTGCTCTCTTTATAGGTGATGGAGACAAAGTATGCCTTAAGGCATCTTTTGTTATTTGAGGTGGCGTTTTTTCCACCTGCACTTCTGCACTGCGCCTCTCGTTGGCACTAATTTCTACTAGAGGTATCCTCCCTTTGGCTAAAGCAATAACTGGATTAGCAGCAATGGAGAGAGACCTTAAAGACCTTGCAGCCTTTGATCTAGTCACACGAACACAAGGAGAGGTGTTCTCTACTTCAGCTTTCTGCATTTCTAATTCTTTTTTGTGCTGAGCATTATGGGAAATCCTCTTTGAAGCTCTGATCCGGGCACTGTTTCTTTTAGATGATCTGGCAAAAGAAACATATTGTCAAGTGCACAATGCCAAAACCAGCACTTAATATGGGTGAGGCAGAACAAGTCTCCACTTACTTTTTCACACAATAAAAACAATTGGGAGGAGGCACAGTTTGCTAAAATGAACTATAATGAAAAAAATATAGTGAACACTATTTTACTGAGCAGTAATTTCTAAAGAAATTAATCACATCATAAATATAAAAGTCATTTAGAATTCTACATAATCTAGTACGCAGACTCTACCTAATCAATGAGCTCCAAGAAGTTGCCTTCCTTTAAGAAGGACTAATGGAAGTCAAAGCAAATTTTGATGTTGAGTAGTGTTTGCAAATTCCTAAATTTCCTCCCTTTTAGGCCAGTAGCTGGGCTTAGAAGGCATGTCATTACCCTTTGTATGCCCTGTGATCAGACTGAATATATTAGCTATATTTCAGAATATATAGATGGTCCCAATCTGAGCAACTCTAAGCAATGAACAGGAAGCAAACAAAAAACAGATCATCCCAAGCATTAAAAACAACACTTTATAATATTGTTTAATATTATATATTAAACAATATATACAAATCATCTGGGTATGAAGAGTACACTAAAAGATTTAAGAAACTTTCTGAACAAGTGAGCATGAGCCAAACATGTTGTCTTCCATAATATAAAGGGACTACTACCAAGAATACCTGTTTTCTATTCCCGATTTCAAATCGTTATAAATTCTTCCTCCGTGTTCAGACTTGTCCAATAGACTCATAATTCATAAGGCACTCCTTGATATATCTGAATACCATGCCATATAGGGCTTTCTAAGTGACAACCACCATTTTGAATGGAGTACTGAAGCCTGGTAACTTCAAGATGGGCATTAATTTTGAAATGTCCTTGATTAGTAATCTAGCATCAGTACTGTGTAACAGATGCAGTTTTTCAGTTGTCTTCAGAAGCATTCCCAATATTTTGAGGACGTTTTCAAATAATTTATTCATTCAAATATCTGTCAAAGCTGAACATTCCTTCAAAGATTCACCCAGTCCTACCCAATGTTACCTAATGTCAAACTATCATAGATTCAGAGCTGAAGAAGCTTCATGGATGAGAAGTGAAATGTCTTCAAAGAAAAACCAGAAATTCCAGTTGCCTCTTGAAAAAGCACTTTTGGGACAACTATGACCTGAATGACTGAGAATCTCCATAGACATAGGCTCTGAAGTCCTTAACTATATGTATGTATGTATGTATGTATGTATGTATGTATGTATGTATGTATGTTGTATTTGTGCTGATAAATGTGACACTAAATACATACATACATACATACATACATACATACATACAGACAGACAGGTAAGGACTTCAGAGCCTATGTCTATGGAGATTCTCAGTCATTCAGGTCATAGTTGTCCCAAAAGTGCTTTTTCAAGAGGCAACTGGACTTTCTGGTTTTTCTTTGAAGACATTTCACTTCTCATCCATGAAGCTTCTTCAGCTCTGAATCTATGACAGTTTGTCATTATGTAACATTGGGTAGGGCTGGGTGAA